AATAACTTCAATGAGCAAATAAGGTTCACCACAACATGCAAACCATTCATAAGCATTAAGAATAGAAAGGACACATTACAATTTGGCAAAAAAACATATTAAAAAAGCCAGGCCAGTACTGGAACAGCATTTTTTGGATAGATGAAACTAAGATCAACCTGTACCAGAATAATGGGAAGAATAAAGTATGGTGAAGACGTGGAATGGCTCATGATCCGAAGAATACCACATCATCTGTAAAACATGGTGGAGGCAGTGTGATAGCATAGGCGTGCATGACTTAGTATGGCTTTGGGTCACTGGTGTTTATTGATGATGGGACAGAAGACAAATGCAGTTGAATTAATTCTGAAGTGTATGGGGATATATTGTCTGCTCATATTCAGCCAAACTCAGCAAAGTTGACTGCACAAAACTTCACTTTACAGATGGACAATGACCCAAACCCTACTGTGAAAACAATCCAGGAGTTTATTAAGGCAAATAAGTGGAATATTCGGCAATGGCTTAGTCAATAACCCGAATGAGCATACATTTCATTGCTGAAGACAAGTGAAATTAAGGCACAAAAACCCACAAACAAACAACAACTGAAGACGGCTGCAGTAGAAGCCTGGCAAAGCATCACAAAGGAGGAAACCCAGCACTTGGTCATGTCCATGCATTCCAGACTTCAAGCAGTCAATGCTTGCAAAATATTCTTGACAAAGTATTAAATTTAACATTTTATTTTAGGATTGTGTTAAGTTGTCCAATTACATTTAAGCCCCTAAAAGAAAGAGACTCTGTATGGAAATGGTTGCAATTCCTAAACGTTTCATACAATATTTTTGTTCAATCCCTTGATTTAAAGCTGAATGTCTGCTCTTCAATTGCATATTGATTGTTTAATTTCAAATCAATTATATTGATGTATAGAGCCAAAATTATGACATTTGTGTCAGTGTCCAAATATTTCCAGATGTACCTGTATCGTTTAGGACAAAGTGTTTTATCAGCTTTTTTCAGATTGCAGATAATCGATCTTTGTTGTGAACCTTATATAGCTCATTAATGATCACTCTGAATAACTATTTTGACCACTATTTCTAATTTTTTATTTGGCATTTAATTACATCAGTAAAGTAATTGTTTTGTTTTGTAGATTGTTCTTATTAATAAAGAGAAACTATATGCACCAAAACAAGTTTTGCTTAATGAAGCAGTTGTTGTGTATAGATCATGCCCCTGCAGTCTCACTGTTCAATTCTCTACCATTTTGTGTAGGGGGGCATGGCTTAAACCTCACTGAGAGCCGACGCACGATCGCAGAGTTCCGGCGCTTAAATGGCAATACACCCAGTATTACCGCTCCAGCTGTATTAACCTAACCCCACAAGTGGGGGGCAGAACAACTTGATTCTTCCTCCGAAGAGGAATTACTAGACACCCCAGATGCCATACCGGAGGCCCTGCAAACACAACTTACCAATGCTCAACGGGGACATGGGAGCCTCAGCAAAGAGAGGTGACATTCTGAAGCTCCTAAATAACATCTGCTCCTACCTCCGCACAGACCTCGCAGTGTTGCAAGAGGAGGTTACAGCAGTCACGGACAGGAAGAGGATTTTTCTTCCCTCACACAACACCAGGCAGATACAGCAGAGGAGAAACAAGGCCTTCAGGCTGCCCACGAAATGGCACTGGCAAGACTAGATGCCATGGCTGACTCAAGACGGCTCAACAACCTCAAGGTTAGAGGGGTGAGGAATCCATAACCGACAGCGAACTACCACATTTCCTCTGCCGACTTCTGGCGGCTATCTTACCCACTCGACTACTCGAAACCAAACTCATAGAGGGCTCACACCGCCTTACCACATACAACAGGGCTCCTGTGACAGCCTCCCGTGATGTCCTGCTCCAGTTCCTGACCTTCCAAGATAAGATAACAGTGGTGGAGGCTTAAATCCAAAAGCCCATAAAAAAATTGGAAGACATGCAGCTCATGTTCCTACCAGATCTGTGCAAAGCCACACTAGACTGGTGGCGCTCGGTTCGCAGGGTCACACAGTCACTCCGAACAGCTGGGATCAGCTACTGATGATGTCCACCCCGCACGCTTCTGGTCACCAGAAATGGGACTGTACACTGACTCACCTCACTGGAGGAGTCTCATACCTTTCTTCAGGCACTGGGCCTAGTGCAACATAAAGCAGGCGCCCACTAGGCTTGCAGCTCCTGAGATGTATCACGTATATTCCCCTTTGTACCTGTCCCAGGAGTAAAACGGCTGAAAGCACCAGATAATTACCAGGGTCCAACCCAGGGGAGAAGTGATGGATAGTTCCAAAAGCATCCCACCAACCAACGATTTTTCTTTTATAATTTCTATTTTCTTATCACAGTTAATATAATATAGTTAATGCCAGTCTGATTTTAATGCAGAGCACACACATACACCTCTCATGCCTCCCCCCCACTTTGGTGCCTAGGGGTTAATGGGCACTACTAACACCCCCACTAGCCCTCCACGCCACAATAGTCAAGGTGCCCACACAGCTCACCAGCCTACCTGCAGCCAAGAAAACCATATACCCTTGAGCTCACTGACACCTCCAAACGACGTTGTTAGGCCTTCTCTAGGCTACAACATAGCGGCCGATAACAGCTACCACTCGGAGCTTATAAGCCCTGACACTTAGCCCTGCACACACATAGCTCACCCACTCCTTGGGAACCCATTAGCTAGCGGGAGCTCACTCTTCACTTTATGCAATTTGTTACCCACCTTTATAACTCTTATAATATCTTAAAATATTTGCCAAAATGTACTCTGTTAAGCGCTCATGCAATGTTTGAAATGTGACTATTGCTTAATGTAACTGCATAATGTATTTTATGGAATATTAGTGCAAGACAAAAATAAAGAATATTTTTTAAAAAATCACTTTGTGTATATATGCCTAGTGACACCCCACTGGAAGTAACTTGCACAACCTTTCTAAGCACTAACTATAAAGCGATATCTAATGTTTAAATATCCTTTATTTCAGATTCTATATAATTTAGAATGTCTTATCTCCTGCTCTATTAATAGCCTAGTATGAACCTCCTTTGTGTTGCATAAACCTCCTTTGTGTTGTTAAAGCTCAATTTACAGAGCAGAAGAACAAAACGTCTAAAGCAAGATAACATCCGATTAAAAATGAAACCATTGTTTGGCAGAGAACCTTGTTGCTTTACAGACTGGTAATCATTCCTAAGAAGGAAAGGCTTTTGGACTAAATTTAATGCTGCGGGGGCGGAGCCTAGCACCCAGACTGAGAGGTTGTGCTGCATCTCAGCTCCTGCCTAATCCTGCACTTTTCGGGGGTAATCCCCCCAAAATCTGGCACAATCCCTCATTGGAGAGCATTTATCATGACGGGGACACCCGGGGGACTCACCCGATACCAAAACCAAGCATGCAATCCTCCGGGGACCCGACCATATAACCCGAGGCCTGCCGGAGATCAAGCTACGGGGAGACGGCCGCTCCCCGCGCTGACTGACCTGGACGTGGATACCTCTGGGCACTCACCTCCTACCCCCCCCCCCTATGGACCGACGGGGGTCATCTCGGTCCACATTAAGCAACTGGAGGGGCAGTAACAAGCAGCAACGCCAGGACAACCGAGCACATGGCACACCTAAAATGGCGGCGGTACGCGCACTGTGCAAGACATCGGAATGCCATACAGGGGTGCCGGATGGCGCGGCCAGACTACATGCTATATTTGAGGCCTTTTGGGCGAAACTGGAGATCAGGGCAAAGCAGATTAAACAAACACAATGCCTGAACAACGAGATGCACAGGCAACACAGCCGCAAACAAACTGCTCCTAACCCACACAGGGCCTCGAGATGGCGCCGCAGGAGGACACGTCCTCCGCACAAAAGCCACCACAGGAGAGGTCACCTAGCCCCAAACCGTAACCACGGAGTGCTGCGAACACTCCGCACACCCGGTACCCGACCGCACTCTTCTTCCGAGCCGGGAGCTCACCGGGAGGTAGCTCTCCACCACCACCCATACACCCAGGGAGATAACCGGGACCCGGAGGAACCCTGGGCTCACGACCCTGTTGATGGGGTCAATGGACATGTGGTAAGGGCCCCCACTAAGGCCTCGGGCCGAAGATATGCGAAAACACCCGGGAGTGATAGGAGAAGAAACGCAACAAGGAGGATAAAGCGACTGGCTGGTCAGAATGGGCAGGCAAGAAAAGCAGGGCAACCTCCTAGCCGAATGCAGGTTAGAGGGGGCCTCCCCCCAATGCCTGAAGAACTGGCCCTTGATTCTTGCACCACCATCCCACCCTGTGGCGTTGGCTGATTTCTCAAGCGGACAACTGCAATGCCCATCACCCGGGACTCCTACTAATCATTGCAAGTGTTATAACCTGTACCAAAACTAGTGCTAGCTTTGCAACTGTCACACCAGGCCTAAGCCTCACCGCATACGACTTAGCAAAGTATTAATAACTGTATGTCTCCTTAGTTACTCACCTAAGTGTAACCTAAGCTAATTTACAGGTTACCCAACGAGGTGGAACTAGCTAGACTCTGTTTATTTAGTTGCTTATAATTTTGACTTAATCAGATGCACAGTCCCCTATGCCCAGGCCCACGACCCAGTGGCATAACGGTCTCAATGCATGCGAGACTCAATGTTTAAATAACCGGTTTACTCCCAGGCACACCCGCCTGGCACGTTCTAGCTTGAAGTCACTAGCCTGTATAGTTGACCTAGCTCGACATAACTACCATTTGAAAATATGCAGAACCAACATATACTTTTCATTGAGCAAAGTGTTTGCTTTATCTTATGTTTAAACTATTGTTTATCTATATGTTACCGGGACTATAACCCCCAGAACTACCATCCGGGGACCAATACACACGGAACCTGATTATTCCCAAATTCCCCACGGAGGAATCTCCTGCAGAAATAACCCATGGTTATAGATGTCACGTCACTATATATGTCCATACATGTTCCTAGCCTAGTAACCAATGGCACTCTAACTGTCTCCCTACCTAGCCTGTTTACCTAACACTAAATGACCCTGAGCCCTAGTGCAGATCATATGCCGTTTTATGCAGTTTTGTCATAGCTAAACGTGTACCTCACCTGCTCAATTGAGCAAAACTGGAGAAAATACTTTAAAAGCGACATCAATATATATATATTAAAACATGCAGTAGAACCTAATGCGTAGCTAAGATACTACCATGTTATAATAATTGTTCACCCAAGCAGTGGTAGCATCATAAACCTGATTAGCAATGTTTTAATACTAAGTGGAACCCTTGTGTTGTTTCTATCTATTTGTGACACATCTCATAGCCTGACAAATCTAGCAAGCTCCTGGTCTCACCTCACACAGGGCATCCATGTTCTAGGTATTTGCTGGAGCCGGGACGTTAGCCTGTCTGCTCATATACCACTGCACGTACGACAGATAGCAGTGGGGGGTTCCCGGGGATATAGGTTCGTCAGTATTTGCAAGCAGTTAATCGCTTATTATGTTAGCGTGTTATTATTATTTGAGTTAATTCTACACAACAGGGAACTACTGAGCCTGCGCAATCACCCTATACAAAACTTGTTCACTTAACTTATTTTAACTAGTTAATGTTAAGCGACTTAAATTGCATATTGCCTAAACCTGTTTACAAAAGCAACGTTAAACCATAAAACATAAAAAAGAGGTACAAATATTAAGGAAATGTTAGATACCACTGTTATTGAGCCCTGTACTGTATTCTAAATGCACATTTCCCTCTCTCTATTCTGTATCCCATCTAATATGCCTCAATAAAATAAATTTAATGCTGCACAATACATGAAAATAAAACATTTATACTTGGTTTTGGTAATGAAGTGGTTAATGACAAATCGATACTAACATAACTAATATTAACTATCAGCTTTTTCCCAACTGCAAAATGTCACCATTAGTGAGTATAATGGGATCAGTTAACAGCTAGTTAGTGATTTCCAACCTTGCTGCTCCCGGTGTATTTCCAAATTTAAAACCTGCCTCTGCTGTATGAAAACAGGCAGAATCAAGTTAGCAAAATCTTTATGAATGCTATAGAGAGAACTGATTGGCTAACACATGGTCTGATCATCTCTGTCTACTAATGCATATTACGATATCAAATAAAATTTAATTTAAAAAATGTACGTTCCTGCAGGATTCTAATATATGACTGGCCATCCTTCATCCCATTAGCAGTAGGGTATAGGTCCCTCAGATGACTAGATTAAATTTTAATTGCTTTTATAGTAAAATATAGCAAACAATTTCTGAAAGCCACAGGAACAAATATACTAATAATCTTTTGCAAAACTGGCACACTTAGTGGTGGCATGAAATAAAGAGCAATTACCAACTTAGATGCCATCTCATTATTTTCCAATGCATTGTGGATAGCACATTTGCTTAAATTCAGCACATTAAATGAAATAAATTACAATTATCCAGTAACGACTGCCAGGGAGTATATTATCCTTAGTTTGCAATTACCCTAATACTAATGAACATATTGTGTAAATAAATAAAAAAATAACACAACCATTAACAAAACCATTTCAAATTAATTTGACAAAGATGTAATAATACAATGTTGATGGCTAGTTTCTAAGCAGTAATTACTAAAACTGCTGGTGTTGAAAATTAAAACAACATTCAAATATAGCAACTGTCAGATCAAACAAAAAAAAAACCCTACAATGAATCCACGGGGTGAATTTAATCTGTGACATATATTGTCATTCATTAAAACGACACACATCATGCTGTGGTGCTGTGATAAATTGTGAGAGTACTCACATGGTGAAGTCAGGTATAAATTTCTAAGTGTGACAGGTGATATTGTATCTGTACGCCATCATGCATAAAACTGAACTATAGCTTGTTCCCTTTGAAGATAACACAAAGCTTTGCCTGTGCCTATTCTCTCCCATTTATCGCTAAATGTATTCATTTCGACTTACCAGAGCCAAATTCTTGATGGTGTTTTATAACGTACCAAATCAGATCTTTCAAAGATAATGAACCCATTCAACACTCATAAACAAAATAAAAAAAATATTTAACTATATACAACATTGGATGTGTTTTTGGAAGTAATAATAGTTGATTTGTAGGGCAACAAAGTCACTTTGTAATGTCATTTTGTATTAAATATGTTTATTGTCATTACAACAGCAATGCGGGTATCAAACAGTTTTCTGTTAATACAAATAATCGCCTACGCAGAGGTTTGTACATCTGAACAGGTATATAAATGCAGATATTCCCCTGTGCAGAGGCGTATATAACGGTTTGTGTACATAAAAGCAGATAGTCACCTACTTGAAGGCATGCGTTTCAGATCATCTAGATTTATCACGTTCAGTTACTGTATATCCGTGTATGTTAGCATATCTTAATAGCTATATGATGTCTTTAGGGAAGCAGTAGTAAATTACATTAACCTAAGGCCCAATGAGACAATGTGGCTGGAAAATAGTCGTTTTACCACTGAGTGATGACCCGTACATACATCTGTTTTAGCATGGACAATGGTATGCCACTCTTAACATCTGAACGTCTATTTCGTGTGTGCATGCTGCAATGGTTAAAGCCTCATATTCGTATAATACGTTAAGTAGAGGAGGCATAATCAAGACATCATAAACCGTAAACACTATGCTCCACCTCTGGGTATCTATTTCGTGTGTGCATGCTGCCAAGGCCGGAGCTATTTACCTATGTGTGACGTTAAGTAAAGAAAGCATAAACAAGACACATTTATGTTAGGTATAAATGGAAGTAACGTAATGATCAGACATTAAGAAAGGTATACATTTGTTTGCCTTTCGTCACCTACGCAGAGGCTGGTTGGTCATTGCATGTATGGTACAGCAAATATATGCATATTTATTTGCTCGTATTGTATAGCTATACGGCTTGTAGTGTGCCTTTATTGCGCTTGCACAGGCGTATATGCTTTTGGGTGTTTCTGCACTGGGCATATTAATTGTTTGTGCCTGCGGGTTCCGTGACTTTTTTGCTGTTGTGTTGTGTTGTGTCTAAACCCGGGGTGCACTAGCAGCGTGTTTATTGTATCTTGCTTCTCTGCTAATGGCATTCGGTCTGTTAGCTTCCTATTTGTGTCCTCTCTATGGGACTTTTAGCTGACGTTTAACCTTGTCCTGTTGTGCTCTGGTACATGTGTCTGCTAACTACCCGTGTGTCTGAATATCCGTTGCCTTGTGCAGCTTGGTGTTTCATGGTCGTGCGTGTCCATTTCTGTTCTGTAGTTATCGCTGTCCTCGGTGTGACAATTCAGTTTAGTGAGCTAGGGTGCGCCAGCGTATAATTTAGAGGACCTCGATGGTTTGTGTGTTCTAAGTTTTGAGTGTCCCTCGATCCTATTGCATTGTAGCCTGCCTGGATGTCTGGTTTTCAGTGTGTGTGTGCCGATTTTGTTTAGAATATGTTTATTGATTTTACATTATAGATTCTAAGGTATACATATTTGTGTTTAAGCAGATAGGTGTCTGTGCAGAGGCGTAGTCAGCCTTACATGTGAGGGGGATCAGGTTGTTGCCTTCATAGAGGCATTTGGGGATTATTTACTTGTTTTGTAGTCTTTAGTTGCGTGTGTTGTTGTGTACCTATTGTCGCTCTTACTGTGCTAGCTTTGGTTTCGTTGTTGTCTTGTGTGTCAAGGGGTTGGGTGTAGTGTGGTGTTAGTTCTAGGATGTGGTCCTGTGTGGTGTTATTTGGCATCCGTTAATGTAGTAGCTATATGGCTAGTTGTCCCTATTCGTGATTGTAGCCCAGTAGGTGGCTATGTGTGTGGCTCGCGAATGTCGTTGTGTCTGTAGGCAGTATGTTCATCTCAGGTGTCATCAGTTGTCATTGTGGCGTGGTTCTGACTGGGTGCGGGTCAGGGTGGGGTAGATCGGGGTGGTCCGCGGCCCGCCTCCTGTCACCCGCTCGGCTCGCCGCGTCTCGCTGTCTTCAGTTCATTTTGTTGTGTTTCTCTCTCCCTCGTCCTCCCGTCTCTCCTTACGACATTTTGGTGTTGTCTGAAGGAGTCTGACGTAGTTAGCCTCGTCTAGTGGAACCAGCGTTTGGTGTGACGGTCTCTGAGGTTCGAGGTTTCTGCTTTCATGTCCTCGAATGTCGTTGTGGCTTCCACCTCCTCTATCCACTTTGTTATGGAAGGTGTGCTGGTTTGTTTCCAATAGATGGGGATGGTCACTTTTGCTGCGTTTAGGAGTCTGGGAATAATAGATCTCTTGTATGTTGGTGTCGCCATAGTGGTATAGTGTAGAAGGAAAGTGGCTGGGGACTGTGGCAGGAGCTCATCCGTAACCTCATGTATTATCGTCCGGATTTTTTCCCAGAATGGTCTAATGCGGGCGCATGTCCACCATATGTGTGTGAATCTACCAGTCTCCTCCTCGCATCTCCAGCATGTATCTGGGATTTCCGGGTTCCTGGCGTGGAGTGCCGTCGGTGTCAGATACCATCTGGTGAATATCTTGTATGAGTTTTCTTGTGTGCGTGCCGAGCTCGGTGTTTTGTGTATCAGGGTAATGCTTTTGTCCCAGTCCACTTCCGTCATGGTTTCCTCAAGGTCTTCCTCCCACTTTCTGATGCACGGTGGTGCTAGTAGGTATCTGTTCGTTATTAAGATAGTATATATTTGTGAGATGGCTCGTGGTGGTTCCTTGTCTTGTGTGCAGAGATTTTCAAATTAGGTTGGTTCTCTTGTAATGGACAGTTGTTGCGGGATGGATCTAGCGTATTGGGTAATTTGTGCTCTGGCGTGAGCGAATGTGTGTGGTCTGCCCGGGTAGATGTCATATTGTTGTATGTCCCGCTGGGCCTGGTGTGGGGCTGTAGTCCCCTGCAGGGAAGTCTGGGTTTCCCTTTAGGGGCAGGAGCGGGCCTGGGTCTGTTGTCAGGTAATGTTTTGTGCCTTGTCCGTGCCAAACTTGCATGGTCGCCGCCACGAATGGGTTGGTGATATGTTTGCTCCTGTACGCTGCCCTGGTGATCCATGGTAGGGTTCTGAGGTCACAGCTGGTCGTGTCTGCTTCTAGTTGTGTCCATGGTTTGGTGCCGCTGGCTACCGACCAACTGACGACTCTGGCGATGTGTGCTGTGTGGTAGTATTTTTCAATGTCGGGGAGCGCTAGGCCCACCCTGATCTTGGGCAGGATCAGTTGGGTGTGGGCTATGCGCGGAGATTTGCCCTTCCAGATAAAAGTGCGGACCTCCGTCTTGAGTGACGCGAAGAACGTTTGTGGGGCTCATATCGGTACTGTTTGAAATATGAAGAGTAGCTTCGGTAGCACCGTCATTTTTACCGCGTTTACCCTGTTCAGCCAGGATATGTAGTAGGAGCCCCATCTATGTAATTCTTCCTTTGCTTTTTTTAATATTGGTATGTAGTTATGGGTGTATAAATCCCCCAGGTCAGGTGTGAGCCAGATCCCCAAATATTTCATGCAGTGATCACACCAGCAATATGGTTGTTGACTCTGACTCTTAAGCTTGAGTGTGTTGCTAATATTTAAGTTCAGTATTTCCGATTTTGTGTAGTTGATTCGGAGGTTCGAGATGCGGCCATATATGTCGAATTCTGTCTGTATCGCTTGCAGCAATTTTTCCGGGTCCGTGACCACGAACAGCATGTCATCTGCATATGCCAGAGTTTTGTGGTGTGTGTTTCCGACTGTCAGTCCCCGGACGTCCTCGTTTTGTCTGATCCTGCTTAGGAAGGGCTCCAGCGTCAGCGCAAAGAGTATGGGCGAAAGCGGGCAGCCCTGTCTGGTTCCGTTGTGGATCTTAAATGGATCTGTTAGCGCACCATTGATCCGGATTCGTGCCGTTGGGTCGGTGTAGAGCGTCTGTACCCAGGCCATGTAGTGTGGGCTGATGCCCAGGGAGTGGAGTGTTTCAAACATCAGGTCCCAGTCCACCCTATCAAACGCTTTCTCTGCGTCAGTGGACAGGAGTAGTACTGGGGCCTTCTGCCCTCTCGAGTGTGCTATGAGGTTTAGGGCCCTTATAGTGTTGTCCCTCACATCCCTGCCCGGGATGAAGCCCGTTTGATCTGGGCGGATTGTGGCTGGTAGTAAAGGTTCCAGGCGTGCCGCCAGTACGCTCGCCAGAGGTTTGAGGTCCGTGTTCAGTACGGATATCGGTCGATAGCTTGGGCATAGTGTCCGGTCTTTGTCCTCCTTTGGGAGAAGGGTGATGTTCACTGAGGTGAATTGGGCCGTTGGTGTGGCTCCATCTTGGATCGAGTTCAGGGCTTTCAATAGTTTCGGTAATAGGTCTTTCGCAAAGGTTTTGTAACATTGCAGGGGCTTGCCATCTGGTCCCGGTGATCTGCCCGTTTTTGCTTTTTTGATGGTGTGCGCCAGTTCCTCGGGTGTTATGGGGATCTCTAGTGCTTCTTGGTCCACCTCCTCTATTCCCGGTATATTTGCCATGTCCAGGTATCTGCGGATGTCCTCCACTTTTTGAGATCTCTGTGTTTCTGGATTGGTTTGGCGGAGGCAAAACAAATCCTGGTAGTAGTCGTGGAACGCTATCGAGATCTGATCCAGTAGGTGTCTGAGTTGTTGGTATGTGTCTTTGATTTTCGGGATATATAGTTGGTTACGGTGTTGCTTCAGGAGATTCGCTAATAGTCTCCCGCATTTGTTCATGGATCATATGTTTGTAGTGTTGGTATGAGCGTTGGATTGCGCGGTTCAGGTGTGTCGTGAGTTGGGTCCGTTTGGTTGTGAGTTCTTCATATACCGTTGTGTCTAGCCTCCAATACCTCGATTTCTTTGCTGAGTTCTAGTATCGTCTGCACCGTCCTCTTCTTGCGGGTCGCGCATATCGCGATGAGTCTGCCTCGGATGACCGTTTTGTGCGCTTCCCAGCTTGTCAGTGGGGTCACATCGTCTGTCTCGTTGTCTGTGAAGTAATCCTGTATGTGGTGACTGATCTGGTCCACAACCGTGACGTCTGAGAGAATCGATTCGTTCAGTCGCCATGACATTTGTCTGGGTTTGTATAGTGGTGACCTCATCCCTATGCGAATTGGGCAGTAATCTGACCATGTCATTGGTAGGATTTCCGCGGTATTGAGCAGGGCTAGGTTTCGATGAGGTACTAAGACATAGTCGAGTCTTGTATATGTCGAGTGGGTCGTGGAGTAAAATGTGTACTATCAGTGCCGTGAGGGTGTGAAATGTGATACCTTGCTCAGTACGTAGTGTGTGGTCACATGTCTCCTTAGTGGCTGTGCTATTAGAGCATCCGCTCCGTCTCTTCGATATTGTGCTTGTATGGGTCATCATTCGCGTAACATATATGGTGCGGTTTACCGCAGTGATGTCACTCGACTTGTGTGTGTCTTGTCCTGGGGGTGACCTCGCTTCGCGGGTTCCTATCTAGGTGCGTGTATGCTGCAGCTCCGGGTCTGGTGGGGCGGGGCTAATCTCTACTAACAGGACCTGTGAGTGGTATTGTTCTGGTGGAGTATCGGGTTTGGTGGTGCTACCTTCCTGCCTGTGTCTTGCCGATTATATGGGCGTGCTGTGGGTGGGGGTCATGCGTGCCTGGGGGTTAATCCCTGTATAATCTCACTCCCCAAGTCTCTAGTGCGGCTGGCTTTTCTACATCCTATTCAGTCTCTGGCTTCTGTGTGGTGTCTATGCCGCCGGCTGTGCCGAAGGCCGCCTTGTGGCAGCGTGTATGTGGTGTGGGTCTTGTGTAGTGGGTTGCGTTGTACAGCATTTGCGGTGGGTGGGGCCTACCTGGGTCCATGTCTTGATGGGTTTCGGTTGACCCTTCTTGGGGACTTTCTCTTGGATCTCACTGCCCTTGATTTCCCTTAGCGACTATGCTTAGTGCGTACCCGTGGTTGGTGAATGCTGTGGTTCAATCAAAGACTGTGTATTTTGCCTCAGGATACCTGTCCTATCATCTCCTAGCTCCCTTTGCCCTCCCTCTAGTCTGGCATCCCAGGCTCTTTCTCGTTCTTTCCCTCCCCCTCTGTTTCTTTGCCTGAATTCCGTGCCCCCCACCTATCCCTTTTTCCCTCCCCCCATATATTATTATCATATATATTTATTTCTGCCTCCCTTCCCACCCCCCCCCTGATGTTCTGGTTTTCTAGTATAGAGTTCCCTCCTATTTCTCCCCCTCCTCCCCCTGCCTTCAGCTGTTGGGCCTGTGTGTCTATTCTGTCCCCTCTCGTCCCCGGCTCTTCCATGGTTCCATTTTGTCCCTCCCTCCTCCGTGGTGGTCTTGGTGATTCGGCCCATGTGTGTCCTTGTTGGTGTCCCACAATATTGTGTCTCGTATCGGAACTCAGCCAAGTTCTACTGTCTGTGCCTCCGCCTGGCTTAGTGTAGGAGCGTTATCCCTTACCCCACCCCAAATGTCCTGTTGTACCCTCCCCTTGGCTCCATCAACACGCAATGAGTTTCTTCAGTGTGGAACCCTTGCGGTTGGTTGTCCCTGTGGTGTTTGCTTCGTTTCAGTTCCCCCATGTCACCATCCCCCACCCCAGCATTTGCCTGTATGGCTGGTATACTCTCATATGTCCCCCAATATATTACTCACAGTTTGTCCCTTTCGTCCTGCTGCGCGTTGGACCCCGGTCTTTCGGCCCTACTCTCTGTTTAGTGTTCAGTTAGTACTCCTGCTCCCGTCGTGCTGGACCTAGGTTCCAGTCTCTGCGGCGCTGTTGCTGGAGTCTTTGAGGACCCTGCTCTGGTCGGCGTGGTTGCTGCGGTCCAGGCGGTGGTTGGAGAAATGATCTTGCCAGCCAGTCCGGTATTTGGAGCAGTGGTATGCCCATGGCTCGGAGGAATCCTGGGAGGTCACTCGGTCTCCTCACCACTAGTTGATCTGGGCCGTGCCTAGCCGAGAGTGAGAATGGGTAGCCCCAGCGGTACGGTATTCCTGCCTGTTGCAGTGCGGATGTTACCGGGCGTAGGGCCCTCCTGGCTTTCAGGGTATATCTGGATAGATCTTGATAAATCGATATGGTTTGGCTCTCAAAGCGTATGGTCCCCATGCGGCGGACCGTGCGCAGAATGTCTTCTTTCAGTTGGTAGTTTTCTAGGCAGCATATGATATCTCTTGGTTGTTCTTCTGGTGCCGGCATTGGTCGCAGTGCCCTGTGTGCCCTGACTAGGCCTAGTCTGGGTATTTGCTGGCCCCCTAGTACCTGGGTGAACAGTCGCTTTAATATGTCAGGTATGTGTTCCGCTGGGTCACCTTCCCTCACCCCACTGATGCGCAGGTCCAGGTCGTCCACCCACGTGGTGAGGCTGGCTATGTCTGCTTCTTGGGTGGCTACCATCGAGTTTGTGTGCTCCAGGTCCGTGCGGAGTGCCCTGGTCTCAGACTCTGCCACTGACATACGAGCCTCCACATTTGCCAGGTCTGTACGTAACTGGGCCACCTCCTCCCTCACTACACGACCTAAGCGGTCTGAAAGGGCCTCAAAGTCTGCCTTGGTGAGTAAATTTGGTAGTATGGCCCTCCACTCACCCTCCTGCGGTAGCTGCGTCTCTGACATCACTGAGAGTGCTGGCGATAGTCTGGCCAGCGTGGAGGGGAAGGAGTCTATTTTCTGGCTTGCGGCCTCTGCCTCCCGCTGCGGTGAGCGAGCGCGGGTTGCGGCATGAAGGTAGGAGCAGATGGATTGCTCCCCTTCTCGACTCGAGGACCTCGGGGTGCCGTTGGGGTCTGTAAGTCTTTTAGTGCGACCCGTTTCTGGTGTGTGGGTGAGCGGGATGCGTGGGTTTTAGCGGGCGCCACGAGGAGCTCTTGTGTTAGGCGTCCATCTTCCTCGGCCGCCGGACATGCCCCCCCCTGTAATGTCATTTTGTAATGTCATTTTATTGCCCTAATTTTGTGAAAAACTAGGAAATTGCTTCAAATTCTTTTGAATTTAAAAAACGGTAATACATATGTGTCAAAGGCTGTAACTGATTAACTTGAGCCTTTTTTATTTAGTCTTTATTACTATGTAATTATATAACATAACTACATATATTATATTCAAACCGATACCTCTTAATCGTGCCTAGATATGCAAAATATATTTCTTTTTATAAATTCACATATCATTTCCAAAAAATATATCATTATAATCAGCAATACAGGAATTTCATTCAGACCTCTATTCACGGAGAAATCTCAATAATCAGCACCTTTAAAATATCTGCATACTTTACTTGTCCTCAAAGATTGATGTCGTTTTTTAGGTGATTAGAGAGGAAGCTTTCCAGAGTGCAGTGCTGCTGTATCACTACTGGCACATTGGTAAAGGCAGAGCATGTCAGGAGAAAAGGTAATACACTACTTTTCCTCTTATACCTGGCTGCATACCGCACATATACCTTACAAGACTGTAGAGTTTGATAGGGAACCAAATTTTCCAAACACTGCATGCACCGTTGGCATATCACACTCCATCTCCTCTAGGATCTTGCCTGAGAATTTGGGAATTAAAAGCCTGATTCACAAATTCTTTAATTTTCCCTACATACAACAATGGCATATGATTAGGACTGACTCCTCAGGGAGGCATTCCCAATATTCTGGGGCATCAGACTGCCACATACCGCCATTCCCATGGTGATGAGAACTTATTTAGGAACCATTTTAATTCTATCAGTTGTCAAATGGTATATGATATACAATGACGTTCACCAATATGCTTTTCCAGATTCCCAAGGAATGTTTATAGGCAACCATCCTATACAAATGTATACTAGATGTGGACAATTGAGAACGTATTTACATACATATATTTACATACATACATGTATATATATATATATATATATATACACACACACACATATAGTTAGGTCTGACATATTTGTTGAAAACTGGCACAATTTTCATAATGTTGGCTCCGTACGCCACTACCATGGATTTGAAATGAAAGAACTGAGATTTAAATGATGTGCAGACATTCAGTTTTAATTCAAGGGGTTGAATAAAAATATAGTATTTTTCAATTTTCATAGACAGTCCCCTAATTTTAGGGGCTCAATTGTAATTGGCAAGTTAACACAATCATAAATAATCATAAAATAATACTTTGTCAAGAATTGTTTGAAATCTGGAACACATTGATATCACCAAATGCTGGGTTTCCTCCTTTGTGATGCTTTACCAGGTCTTTACTGCAGCTGTCTTCAGTTACATAGTTACATAGCTGAAAAGAGCCCATCAAGGTCAGCCTTTCTCATATTTGTTTTTGCTGTTGATCCAAAGGAAGGCAAAAAATCCAGTCTCAAGTGCTTACAATTTTGCAACAAACTAGGAAAAAATTCCCTCGACCCCAGTATGGCAGTATCTCCATGGATCAAAAAGCTATTACTCCACTATTTAAAAAGTATATCACTGTATAATATATTTTTGCAAGTATTTATCCAATTGCTGTTTAAACATATGTGTAGACTGTGATAAAACCACATCTTCAGGTAGAGCATTGCACATCCTTATTGTTCTTACTGTAAAGAAACCTTTCCTTTGCCTTATACTAAATCTCCTTTATTCCAGTCTAAAAGAGTGACCTTGTATCCTTTGTATAGTCCTGCTTATGAATATGTTTCCAGACAATTGCTTGCATTGGCCCCATATTTATTTGTGTAATACTATGATATCCCCTCTTAGATGCCATTTTTTCATAAATAAAATGGTCCAGTCCTTTTATCAATATTGTAGCCTGCCTCTGCACTTTTTCTAGTGCTTTAATATCCTTCTTATCAATACACACCCAAAATTGCACTGCATATTCAAGGAGTGGTCTTACCAGTGATTTATAAAGAGGCAGTTATATCCTCATCTCAAGAATTAATGCCTTTTTGTATACATGACAGTACCTTACTGGCCTTAGCAACTGCAGATCGACATTGCATATTGTTGCAAAGAACAGAAACCTGAAGGATACCACTTACCTCTTTTGTCCAGCTTAAAATATACCATTTATGACAACGCTCTGTACTCTATCTTTAAGCCAATGTATTACCCAAGAACAAGAATTTTCATCTAGCCACATTTGCTTTAGTCTGATCACTAACCTAATGTGAGGAACAGTATCAAACGGATTGGCAAAATCCAAGTATATCACATTCACTACAGCACCCTGTTGCTTGTTTGTTGGTCTTCATGCATTAAGTTTTGTATTCAGCAAGTGAAATGCATGATCCATTGGATTGAGATCAGGTGACTCAGCCATTGCAGAATATTCTACTTCTCTGCCTTAAAAACAATTCCAGGTTATTTTCGCAGTATGTTATTGTCCATTTGTAGTGATGTCCCGAATGGTTCGCTGGCGAATAGTTCGGTCCGCTTGTTCGCGTTCGCCGCGGATGGCGAACATATGCGCTGTTTGGTCCGCCCCCTATTCGTCATCATTGAGTAAACTTTGACCCTGTACCTCACAGTCAGCAGACACATTCCAGCCAATCAGCAGCAGACCCTCCATCCCAGACCCTCCCACCTCCTGGACAGCATCCATTTTACATTCATTGTGAAGCTGCATTCTTAGTGAGAGGAGGGACAGTGTAGCTGCTGCTGATTTGATAGGGAAATTGATAGCTAGGCTAGTGTATTCAGTGTCCACTACAGTCCTGAAGGACTCATCTGATCTCTGCTGTAAGGACAGCACCCCAAAAAGCCCTTTTTAGGGCTAGAACATCAGTCTGCTTTTTTTTCTGTGTAATGTAATTGCAGTTGCCTGCCTGCCAGCCTGTGTGTCAGGCTCACAGCATATACTGTGCCCACTTGCCCATTGCCACCACTCACTCACTGGTGTCACAATAGCTTGAATTTAAAAAAAAAAAAACTTTTTGGACTGTAATATGATAGCAGTCAGTTTCCTTCACGAGTGTGTGTTTCAGGGCCTGCTCAGTGCCACCACTCACTCACTGGTGTCACAATAGCTTGCATTTAAAAAAAAAAAAAAAAACTTTTTGGACTGTAATATAATAGCAGTCAGTTTCCTTCACGAGTGTGCGTTTCAGGGCCTGCCCAGTGCCACCACTCACTCACTGGTGTAATTCCAGTTGCCTGCCTGCCAGCCTGTGTGTCAGGCTCACAGCATATACTGTGCCCACTTGCCCATTGCCACCACTCACTCGCTGGTGTCACAATAGCTTGAATTAAAAAAAAAAAAAAAAACTTTTTGGACTGTAATATAATAGCAGTCAGTTTCCTTCCCGAGTGTGCGTTTCAGGGCCTGCTCAGTGCCACCACTAACTCACTGGTGTTCCAATAGCTTGCATTTAAAAAAAACAATTTTTTTTTTACTGTAATATAATAGCAGTCAGTTTCCTTCATGAGTGTGCGTTTCAGGGCCTGCCCAGTGCCACCACTCACTCACTGGTGTCACAATAGCTTGCATTTAAAAAAAAAAAAAACTTTTTGGACTGTTATATAATAGCAGTCAGTTTCCTTCACGAGTGTGCGTTTCAGGGCCTGCCCAGTGCCACCACTCACTCACTGGTGTCCCAATAGCTTGTATTTAAAAAAAACAAAACTTTTTGGACTGTAATATAATAGGAGTCAGTTTCCTTCACGAGTGTGCATTTCAGGGCCTGCCCAGTGCCACCACTCACTCACTGGTGTCCCAATAGCTTGCATTTAAAAAAACAAAACTTTTTGGACTGTAATATAATAGCAGTCAGTTTCCTTCACGAGTGTGCGTTTCAGGGCCTGCCCAGTGCCACCACTCACTCACTGGTGTCCCAATAGCTTGCATTTAATAAAAAACAAAAAACTTTTTGGACTGTAATATAATAGCAGTCAGTTTCCTTCACGAGTGTGCGTTTCAGGGCCTGCCCAGTGCCACCACTCACTCACTGGTGTCACAATAGCTTGCATTTAAAAAAAACAAAAAACTTTTTGGACTGTAATATAATAGCAGTCAGTTTCCTTCACGAGTGTGCATTTCAGGGCCTGCCCAGTGCCACCACTCACTCACTGGTGTCCCAATAGCTTGCATTTAAAAAAAAACAAAAAACTTTTTGGACTGTAATATAATAGCAGTCAGTTTCCTTCACGAGTGTGCATTTCAGGGCCTGCCCAGTGCCACCACTCACTCACTGGTGTCCCAATAGCTTGCATTTAAAAAAAACAAAACTTTTTGGACTGTAATAAAATAGCAGTCAGTTTCCTTCACGCGTGTGCGTTTCAGGGCCTGCCAGGGCACAGTGTCACACCAGTGCAACTCATATCTGGTGTAACAGTAGTGTACATTTAAAAAAAAATAATAAAATTTTGACTGTAATAGATTGAATAGCAGTTAGTTGTCTGCCAGCGTATGTGTCAGGCTCACAGTGTATACTGTGCCCACTTGCCCAGTGCCACCACTCATATCCGGTGTCACAATAGCTTGCATTTAACAAAAAAAAAACTTTTTGGACTGTAATATAATAGCAGTCAGTTTTCTTCACACGTGTGCGTTTCAGGGCCTGCCAGGGCACAGTGTCACACCAGTGCAACTCATATCTGGTGTAACAGTAGTGTAAATTTAAAAAAAAAAAATACAATTTTGAC